GGGCGAAAAAGACCAACGGACAGCCCGGAATACGAACAGCCGCAGTTTGCCTAAAAACGTTAATTTTTCGGCGGGTCTCCGGAAAACAGTGGCTGAAATGGGATCCGAAGGTACCGATGGAAAGCTCTGGTGATGGGGAGTTCAGATCAGGTCCTAGGGAGGTGAGAAGTCACCGGAAATGAGTAGGATCTAGCCTGGAAGATGAAGAGTCGCGACAGCTAAATCGCGGATTCCGGCGGTTTTCGCGGTGGCTGAAGCTAGGAAAGTGTAGATCCGGCTGTGGGGAAGGTGGATCGACCCTTGGGGAGCCGAATCGTCATCGAAAAATGGCCAAAACTGGTCGGGAAGACGAAACGACGCGGTGGAGGGAAGATGAAACATCGCGGCAGCTTTCGTGTTTCGCGGTGGTGGTCCGGGACGATGGGCTGACGGTGATTTGTGGTCGAGGAAGATCACCCTTAATCCATAAACCACAACCTAATATCAACTCATATACTTTCCAAAATCATTCCAAACACGTTAAATTCATAAGAAAAATATTAGGAAGCGATTTTCGTGAATAAATTCATAAATTCTTTAATTATCTCAATATACTTCAATTTAATCACACATGGGGTATTTTTATCACCAAAATAGAGTCACTTTCATGACTCTAACACACTCCCCAACTTACTCTTTTATGAAAATGTTGTTAGTTGTTTTATAAAGAAAATGTAAAGAGCTTTATACTATTAATTTGCCAAAAAGAGTTTTGATATACAAAAATAAATCAAGTCAAATTTATAAAATATAATAAAAATATTTTTAAAATTATAACACTTTAGATAAGTTAAAAAGAGTTAGTAAGAAAAGTTAATTTGAGCTTCTCATATAAGCTTTAAAATAACTTATTTTAAATCATATAAACGACTTTAAAATGTAACCAAATAACTTGAAAAATTGTAAAACTTATGGCTTTGGGGGAAGAGGGGAAATAAACCCAACCAATCAGGTAAATTAGAAAAAGTAATTAATATATGTAGAAACAAACAGAGGAGGATATTAATCATCAAGAAGTAAACTGAATCGATCCTCCTGTTCTTTTAATAATCTTTGCATATTAAGATATACAGAAGCGACTTAGCACAATAAAATGATTTGAACATGAATTGGAAGAATCTATTTGTAGAAAGAACGCAGGGTTTGTATGAAAGTGGACGAGGAGAACTGCAGCAGGTATAAAAGAAATGATACTTCATGGAGTGTTGAAATAATCTTTCCTTCAAAGTTGCCATCCATTTGTTGCAAGAAGCTTTGCAATAGCTGTTGAGATCTTTACAAAGAGAAGAAAAGTACTAGCCCCTCATGAGAATTGCAAGTTCGACAAGATCGTGAAAAAGGATTGATACCCCTTCACTATTCCTGAGCGAAGATTTCAAAATTCCACTTCCTGCAAGTAAATCCACATCCTTGGCAGATCTAAGAAGATTATTCATGAAGAAAATGTAGTCATTTATGAAACCGGGAAGGCTATGACATTGTTCAAAGGCCATAAGATTTCTTAAAAGAATGCCCAGTGGAGGATTTATTACGGGCCGAGGAACCTCCAATATTCCATTTTAAAAGCTTGTTTCAAATTTGTTAAAACTTCGCTCCTTGAACTTTACTCCAGCCTGATGTAGCCGCGTTACACTGGGTGCGGATACTTNGAAGACCCCTTCATTAAGGGGATTCGGCCATTTTACACTAGAACTCTCTCTCTCTCTTGCAAACTTTGTAGTCATTTATGAAACCGGGAAGGCTATGACATTGTTCAAAGGCCATATGATTTCTTAAAAGAATGCCCAGTGGAGGATTTATTACGAGCCGAGGAACCTCCAATATTCCATTTTAAAAGCTTGTTTCAAATTTGTTAAAACTTCGCTCCTTGAACTTTACTCCAGCCTGATGTAGCCGCGTTACACTGGGTGCGGATACTTTAACTGCCTTCTTTTCCAAACTAATCGGAAGGTAGAATACGAATTCTGATGAAATCAACGAAATGTAGCACACCAGAATAATGGCTTTCATCAAAATTATCGACGTGCAGCAAAGCATCCTAATGATTTTGGCTGAAATCATGAGTAATTTTAAGCAGGGGAGGTCTCTGATCATTTATGGTTACATTCGCTAGTATAAACAATTCCTCAAGGACAGAGAACGTATTAGCCAGAATGTAAGAGAGGGCAGTTTTGTAAAACTGCAGGTAAAGGAATAAGTAAACGGCGTCGTTTGTGGAGCACACTTTACTCTTTGTCACTAAGCTGAGCTGACTTTCTTCTCTGTATATAAAGTCCATCACTGTTTCAGTATTGTAATCAATCAAAATCAATTAATAAGATACAAAAGTTCTGAATATACAGAACTCTCTCAATGTTGAGTGTTATGCAGATGCGGATTGGGGAAGTAATTTAGATGATCGACAGTCTACTAGTGGATATTGTATGTACCTAGGTCCTAATCTAGTTCAATGCAGTTCCCGCAAGCAAAAAGTGGTTGTCTTGTTCTCTACATAGACTGAGTACAGACAGTGGCGGACCCAGGATTTTTGCCCGGGGGGGCCTCCGCAGTTCCGTTATTGTTTATCAAACAATTAGTAAAAACTTTAAAAAATCACCAAACCTTAAGCAAAGGAAATAATACAATATCAGTAATCTAAAAGAAAATAATGCAATAACGCAATACTTTACTACTTGAATAAATCTATGAGAAGCAAAACCTTGAGCAAATTATGTTGTAAATAACATCCAATTCACGAGGAAACACAAGAAAATTTTTACGTGGAAAAACCTCTTCAATTAAAGAGAGCAAAAGACCATGGGAATCCAATATAATTAAAAGAGTTTACAACAATCACAATCCACAAAAAATATTCTACACAAATTTCTTATTTCTCCTCTTTTATTTGTTAATTTTTTTTTTTTATAATTTTTCTTTTTTTTTTTTTTGGCTCTCAAAGATTATAATATAAATTTTCATGACTTTGACAGGCTTAACCTAAACTAAAGTCAATCAAAACTTAAATAAAGTCAACGTTGCCTTGACTTTTAATATGAATTAATAAAAAAAGAGGAAATTTTCTTAGTATAAACAAAGATAATAACTCAAACTTTTTAAATAATTTTGAACAGCCAAACGGTGACGTTTGAAATGTAGGAAAGTGATGAGTGAAGGATGAAGAATAACATTCAGTAAAATATAGTTAAGGTTTAATTTGGGAAAGCATGAATATTCTTAAACACAAAATAAAACAAAACAAACTCACAAGATCCATGTCTTTTTCCATCAAATTAAAATAAAAAAACCTTCGAAAAATAAGCATGATTTAACCCTAAAATAAACTAAAATGAAATGAGCAATATACATACCTAAAACTGATAAAACAGAAAACGAAGTTAATTGTGGCACCTTGATTAGTGAAAACTTAAACAAATTCAGTCTTTAAAAGCTTTAAGAACGAATAACATAGAGAAAGTGAATGAAAGAATGAGAGAATAAAGAATTTTAGAGATAAAATTATAAAAAACAGGTGAACATTGAAAAAAGTGGAGAGAGTTTTAAACTTTTAATATGATGTAGGCCTAGAATATATATATTAATAACAAGTTTTTTATAAGTTTGGATATATGTATAATATTTCTCAATTTTTTTTTTTTTTTTTAAAATCTGAAGGTAGACCTAGATATATATATTAATAATGGGCCTATATAAACATTTTTTTTTCAAATGTAAGGATAGGACTGGGCCTACCCTCCAAGGGGCTGGGTCCGCCCCTGAGTACAGAGCACTAGCCCAAACAGCAACTAAATTGGCCTGATTGGACAGTTTGTTCATGGAAATAGGTGTGTCAATCAACTCTTGTCCTATCATCTAGTGTGACAACGTGAGTGCTGGAGCATTGGCATCAAATCCAGTCTTTTACGCAAGAACAAAACATATTGAGACCGATACTCACTATATCCGAGACCAAGTTCTTGCAAAAAAGGTCATTGTGCAATATGTTCCTACAAAGCTTCAAATTGCTGATGTTCTAACAAAGGCCCTTTCAATTAGTCAGTTCCAGGAATTAAAACAGAAACTTTGTGTTGTTGAGGTACCATATTCAGATGCTAAAGTTGACAGTAGTCAAGAGTCATCTTCCTCTCTGAAGCAGCAGTAGCAATCTGCTAACCGTGTGCAGAAAACTAGCAGCAATTGATGTGGTAACTGATATGGTAAGGTGTTGTGTTAAAAACATGTCAATATGGCATACAGATCTGGCTGCTAATGAACTATGAAAGGATGTTGTGTTATGGTGTTATTTGAATGCTCAGTATATGCCATTAGTGCTGCTAATGAACTATGAAAGGGTGGTGTGTTATGGTGTTATATGAATATTCATTATATGCTCTTAGTGTTCTATGTTGAGGTACAATGTGGTGCATTTGAAGTTTTTGGTAAGAATGTTGGTAGTATTGCTGAGATAGCTTCCAGTATGGTATGATTTCAGTATGGCATATTTTGGTGAAAGTGCAGAAGCATTGCAGAAACATTATGTGGTGGTTTTGATAAGAATGTTGGTAGCATTGCTGAGATAGCTTCGAATATGGTATGATTTAAGTATGGCATTTTTGGTGAAAGTGCAGAAGCATTGCAAGAAACATTATGTAGTGGTTTTAAGTTTTCTCTTTTAGTATAATGGTGAGGTATCAGCTTATGTAGTCAACAAGCCAAAGCAGAGAAAAAGGCCACAGCCAATCTGCATATGAAGGAAATGTCTGAAGACAACAAACCAAAGTCTTGAAGAAAATCCAGCCACCGTAGTCCAGTTTGCGGGGTAATATTAGCCAGAATGTAAGAGAGGGCAGTTTTGTAAAACTACAGGTAAAGGAATAAGTAAACGGCGTCGTCTGTGAAGCACACTTTACTCTTTGTCACTAAGCTGCGCTGACTTTCTTCTCTGTATATAAACTATAAAGTCCATCACTGTTTCAGTATTGTAATCAATCAAAATCAATTAATAAGATACAAAAGTTCTGAATATAGAGAACTCTTTCGATCTCTGTTTTCTCAGTCTCACAGAACGGAAGCTGATTTTCAAGTAACATCATGTCGACCTTTACCTCAAGAAGCAACAACCCTTTCGAATATAAACTCTTTTCACAATCAGGGACTTCATCAGACAAAAGATCTTCCAATAATACCTCAATAATGAAGGCAGAATCCAGTAAAACCATTTTCACAAAATCATGACTATTGAGTCCACTGATTTCTTCAAAACAATTACGCAATCTGACTTCATTTCTCCTTATAACATCTACAAATTCTTCCAAGTTTACCTTAGTTCGTTGAAGAAAACCTGCTAAGCAATTTCTTCTGTAATCTTCCATTGGTTTCAACTCATCTGCGCCATGATGAAGCGGGCCAATGGAGACTACTCGAGGTGTAGAAAACATTTCATTTGAGCGACGCACTCGATCTGGAACTCTATAGAAAAAATACTCAGAAACAGGTGGAGAATTTTATTTTTCTTCTCAACGGAGCTGCCGGGTTTTCAATGTCAGCTGAAGCATCGTCACTTTTGTCAATCCGCTCTATTGCCTTTGGAGCAGCCTTCATCACCTTAGTAACTGAAGAATTATCACTAGCATTGTAATTAGCAATGACAATAAACATTATATTATTAGTAAGTACCACCTTCCACACGTAATATCTATGGCTCCGTTTGTTTTGTTATTCCTATCCATATTCTCAATCCTATTCTCAAAATATTTATTTGTTTTATTATTTGAGAAATACTATTCTATTTTTTAATTACTTTTAAACCTTTTAAGTTTATTAATTTAATTAAACACCCTTTAGAAAAAAAAAATTTAAAAATTAACAAAAACACCCCATCCGTCCATAGTTGCTAGATTCCGGTAACCATCAGTGATGGATCTGGCCGAAAAAGGCTATATCAACGCACGATCGGCCATATCTGACTGGTCTGCGTCGTAACGCCATTTTCCGACTAGATTCCGACGGTGGTGGCCTGAATCTAGCATTGTGGGTGGGTGGGGGTATTTTTGTCATTTTATAAAATTTTTATATATTGGGGTCTTTAGTTAAATTAGCAAACCTAAGGGGTTTTTTTGTGAATTTTTAAATTTTACCTCGTAATACTCACCCTATTCAGCTATCCAATATTATTCCCAAAATCCTATCCAAAATAACAAAACAAACGGACCCTATAATTTCATAAATATAACATAAATTAAATGTTGAGATATTGTAACTCGTTTTCCTAATTGTTTCCTTGTAAAATTGTATCTCTTTAATAAATTTAAATTAAAGAGGAATAGAATTATTAAAAAGAATAATGTAAAACCTAATAGAAATAGAATAAACGAAAGTCGTTTTAGGAATAGAAATTACATACATTCATATAAAAATAATATCTCATTTATAATCTATAATTATATAGGTGAGAATCAATTTAAGTTTATAAGAAAATGATGAGTTACAAGCGTGAGATGCAAAAGTTTGGGTAAACATTATAGAGGTATTAGGTTAGATAAGAGATTTATATTGTGTGTACTTTTATATACCTGTTGGTGTTACTATAATAAATTTCTCTCTCATCCATAAAGATAAACGAGTTATGTCGAGCAACATTGACTATCGTATTTGTTTGTGTGATTTATGTTCATGTTATTAATCTTGTGTTTCTTAATGCAAGATCTTCAACATAATATTGAATAATAAAGCCTAGATAAAATAAATTCTTGAGAGAATGATGCATAAAAACCCTTTTACGATAAGATGAAATTTTTGCCTTCAAAAGACAGGGTAATATGTACTTTTTTTTAAACCTAATGAAAAATTATTCTCAGATTAAAGTTAAAAGGATAAATACTAACATCAACTGATTATAGTTAGTTTAGATATTGCGAGGGAATATTATCATTTATGGAAACCTGGGTATATATAATAGTTCAAACCTTTTTAAAATTCGAACTTAAACTCTCACTGTTGAGTGAATCTTTAACGGTGTTGTCTTACGCCTGAAGTGAAACGCTGTCATTTTGGTGTTAGCTCAAGTGACAATCCTCAGCCATTGATTCCATTCAGATCTGACGGCCATTATCAGCTCATTAAGTCAAAGTATAAAAGGCAGCCAGATCTGAGAATGCGCACAGTAACTTGATCTTCTTCTTTCTTGCGTTTTACAACAGTTTTAGTCTTCTTATTTTTACTCTTTCGAACATTGTAATCAGGTTTAGGTTCTTGTGAATCTTGATAGCGAAACTGCATAGTGGTTTTTCTGGTATAGGCTTTCAGTTTTCAGGTTGGCTTATTGTGATTATAGGGAGGTTCGAGTGACTGCTGTATCAATGTAAGAGTTGAGCCATTTGGGTTGTGATTGATTTGTACTTGTAATACTTTGATCCTTATAGTGCAATGAGTCCCAATTTGCTTGGAGCTCAACGTGGATATAGTTTATTCCATTGGAATAAGCGAACCACGGTAAAAATCTTGTGTTCTTGATTGTATTCTTGGTAGTTTAAGTCTTGTGATTGTGTTTGTGAGTGTTGATTGATAGGTTTGAATTCTGTTTCACGCACAACACTCACTAAAATGAGTGAACTTTTGGATGTGAAAGTTGATAAGAGATCACAATTTTTTTTCATTTTCTACTGCTAAGTGATAAATGATAAAGTTATGTGAAATCCTATCAACATCAAGGCCAAAGAAGGATGTTAGAGCCCCCACGCTTTATCAAATCACTCACTCAAGGGATTAGTAGTTATAAAAATTTTAAGATCTTATGTTTAATATGCAGTGTATGCATATGGCTCAACAAAACTAAATAGCAGTGTTGAAACACAAAAGAAAAAGATGATAGATAGATATTCTTACACTAGAAATTTATGATCAGCTTTTCTCGATGCCTTCCAGACACAATCCACCTCTAGTACTATGCAAAACTACATCAAGGGTGAGAAGATCGGTTTATGCTGTTTTCATGGACTTCTCTTTTCCCTCATTCAAAAAAAAGAACAAAACTAAAATTAATTGCTTAAAGCAAAGACTAAGGAAGGTATCTCCTTTTAAGATTGCAAGCAATGTATCTCTCTCAAATAAAATTGAGCATTTGGTACTGCAGCTATAAAAATCTTGGATGTAATTTGATAACTATGATTTTGCATTATAGCTATATCGGCGATTATCAGGCCTTTTTTTTTAATGCGTCAGGATTTCAAGCCTATTTTGAAATGAGGATAGTAAATTAAGTTTAGTTTATCCAAGATTTAATGCTATAAGCTTTAAAGTAGTGAAGTACGATGAACCTTTTTGCAGGTCTAAGAATTTCCTGATATGCTTTTCTTCAGGATTTTCCATTACAAAGACTGATGATATTTTTATCTTTATACTTCACTTCAAGCTCTGTCATATTGTGAGAAAAGTTGTTGGAAGTTGATTTTGTCTCACATTGCCAAGGTGGTGGATTGTCATGTTGTATATATCTGGTTGGACTCCCTCCTCTCTTGAGCTAGCTTTTGAGAGTGACTTTTACCCAAACACATTTATCAAGGTATCAAAGTCACGTATTTTTCTTTGTTCTATGAGCTAGAGAATAGATATTAGCATTTAGCCCATTTTATCAAAATTGAATAAGGATATACTTTGCTCGTTCTGCTAGAGAATTGCTTTGTTCTATGAGCTAGAGAATAGATATTAGCCCACTTTATCAAAAGTGAACAAGGATGTTGGTTTTAATGCCAGATTATACAAAGAAAGAAAAGAATCCGAAGAGAACCCGCATTTTTCATTGAACATCATGGGACAACTTATAAAAAATATTTTACTTATAGTCCACTGTTACAACCACTATATCAGGGACCCTTTTACATGATTAAAACTAAGCCACACAATATAAACTAATACATTACAATTAAGGGACATAGAGCCATATTTCTGGCCACAACTACCTAATTACATCACAACAAAACATCATCCAGCTGCCTCTAAACCAACTTCTTCCAACACAGCAAACTGAACTTCCTTGGCGCCAAAAAACATCTTCAAACTACCAGCCCTTGAATATTGCATTTCCAGCAAAATATCATAACTTCATCACTCTTCCTTGATATTTTTGCTGGAAACACCAAGTTTTAGCCTTAAATCTTCAAACTTGGCTTTAGACAAGGCTTTTGTCATTATGTCAACAATCCGATTTTCTCCTTTGCAATGCACCCAACATTCACGGCATGGTACTTGATCTTAATGTGCTTGGTTCTGCCATGAAGAACAGGATTTTTTGCCATGGCTACAGCAAACTGATTGTCACACAAAATAAATGTTGGATTTCCTTGATTTTGCTTCAAGTCATCTAGGATTTTCCTTAGCCATACGGCTTGGTTCACGGCTGCAGCAGCAGAAATATACTCTACTTCTACTGTGGACTGAGCCACAGTCTCTTACTTCTTTGACAGCCAACAAATTGCACCCGAGTTTATGTAAAACACATAACCAGAGGTGCTCTTCAGGTCATCCAAGTATCCACCCTAGTCATTGTCAGTATACCCGAGCAGCTCTAAGTTTTCTGATTTCTTAAACCAAATACCAAGCATGGTGCTCCCTTTCACATACCTCAATACTCTCTTGGCTGCCCTGAAATGCAGCTCACTTGGATTGCTCATGAACCTAGAAAGGTAACTTGCGGTAAACATGAGATCAAGTCTAGTGGTTGTAAGGTATATCAGACATCCAATTAGACTTCTAAACTGACCTTCATTCACTCTCTCTTCACCAGCCTTTTTGCTCAACTTCATATTGGGAACCAATGGATTATCCACAGGTTTACAACTTTCCATGCCAAATTTCTTGAGTATCTCACTTGCATACCTCTGTTGGCACACAAAAATACCATCTCTAGACTGATTTATTTCCATACTGAGAAAGTAAGTCATCAGTCCTAAGTTAGTCATTTCAAATTCATTTTGCATGGCTTTCTTGAACTGATTCAATTCTTTAGAGTTGCTTCCTATAATCAGTAAATCATCAACATACAATGAGCCGACAGTCAAGTCACTTTCAATCTTCCTAACATAAAGTGTATGCTCATTAGGACTCCTAATGTATCCTAAATTGCATAGATGGTCATTTATCCGGCTATACCAGGCTTTAGGAGCCTACTTTAGGTCATACAAGGCCTTCTTCAGTAGATACACCTTGTCCTCTTTACCTCTAACCTCATAGCCTTCCGGCTGTTCCACATAAATATCCTTAGTAATCTAGCCATTCAAGAATGCTGATTTAACATCTAACTGGAAAATTTTCTAGTCAAACTGAGCTGCTAGAGCAAGTAACAACTTGATGGTGTCATGCCTGGCTACATGCGCAAAAGTGTCAGAAAAATCTACCCCTTACTGCTGTGCAAACCCTTAACCACAAGTCTTGCCTTGTGTTTGTGGACTGATCCATCAGGATTGACTTTCTTCTTGAAGATCCACTTCACCTGGATCACTTTTCTATTTCCTGGTCTATCAACAAGTTCCCAGGTGTTATTCTTTTCTATCATTGATAGCTCCTCCTGCATTGCAGCCTTCCACACTTCTGACCTTGCGGCTTCATTATAATTCCGGGGTTCAAACACAGTCAAGTTGTACCTTTCATACACTTCAGCTAAG